CTTTATTTTAATATAAAATATTTATTAATAAAATTGAAAACTTTTATATAAAGAGAAAATCCATATTTTACTATATTTAATTAATAAATTTTGACATTATTGCATTATTTCCGATTGCCACTGTATATTATGATTTTATTTTGATATAAAAATAAATATTTTGATAAAAATAGAATTTTCAATTTTATTATGTTTTAATAATTAATTTTGAAAATGATACACTACTTTTGTAAGCTACTATATATCATATAAATTCTGTAAAAATGCATATCATATATATAATTACTTTGGATTGAATCTTACAATTATAAACATGTAATAAGACCATACAAACTAACATAAATCCTCAAGATTGTATATTATGTATAAGCTTTATATACCATTTTAGCACCACCGAGACTATTATATTTAATTCCAGATAATTGGCTTAACTTATGATTCTTAATAAAATTCAAGCGATAGGATGGATATAAAATGATATTATGCGATATATTAAAGTTACCTATTATCTTTGTTTTTTCGGAAGGGAGAGAAAAGGAACCAAAGAATAACACAGGTTATCACCATTCGCAGCATTCACCGATTTTTGTGACAGAATTAATGACTGCACACGCTTTTTCAATCCCTTCCTCAGTTACCTGAGCATTGCGGGACAAAGCTATACGTTTTAAAGTTCTAGTTCTTCGTGCGTAATGCATGATTGCAGTCAAAAACGAATCATCAATATAACACGGGGTAGCCAATTGTAAAGTCTCTAACGAGGCTCTACAATTACTTAGGAACAGGTCCAATTCATTCACCGAGAAATTACCCATCCAAGAAATTGTCAAATGATATAAAGTCGAGGATAAAAGCGACGCAACTTTTGACCGGAAAAATTCGTCATACTGGTCCTCGACAGAAATTGCCAATCGCTCAAGGCGTAAACAATTTTCTAATAGTAAGACAAACGGTTGCATTGTTTCCTGTTCGATGTGTCCCTCGAACGAGATTAATTTCGGACAAGATTTCGCGACCGTTGCGATAATCACAGGCGGTATGTCAGGCACACTTTGTACTACTGAATTGCGAAATTCCCGTCGTCGGAATCGCACTTCGCGTATACTTCCATTGGTGTTTTCAATCACCGGGATCAAATTGTCGAGTTCTTTACGATGTGCATTTTTGAAGGTTAGTTTTTTGAGATGTGTGAAAGATGATTTTGCTAGTGGTGCTAAAATTTCATTTGTGAGATTATTGCAATCTTCGAATATCAGCGTTTCTAGTTTATGACATTGTGCGACAACTTCAAGTGGTCCCGAAGTTTGAAACAGGACATTGATAAATTCAATATGAGTCAGTGAAGAAGTTTGAGTAGTAAATGCAGGCATCAAATCAGCAAGAAAACAGTAAGATTCGCGTATTATAATCTTTTGCAGATTTCTTTGTGCTATAATAAGAATACACATTTGATATGTATCTCGTCGATTGCCATCTTTTGGATTGTACATATCAAAACTCGAAAAGTTCAGTTCGAGCGTGTCAAGGTTTCTGCATGACACAGACATTGCATGCATTAAATCTCCTTTATCGTATTCGCCACCGCATGAGAATCTTCGAATTTGTTGTAATAATAAATCAGCACCCGGGTAACTAGGAAAGGGCATTTTTATCTCTGGCTTATAAAAAATCATATCTTTTGTATCAAACGACAAGTCATTCAACATGCGGCAATTCTTTACAAAGTATTTACACAGTTCCTCGACCACGACGCGACAAAATTTTCTTCTCATCCATGGACGTGAAAATTTCGGATGTTTCTGTGGCACAAGTCGTGACACACAATCGTATATCGCTTTGTATGAGAGTGTTCGAAATGCGGCAAGATAATTTATCGAGGAAGTTATCGTTGGATCAATAGAGAGCATATCGAGACCATTCTCGCGTAGAAAAGACTTCACCTCTTTGTCAAGCAAATTTAAGTAATTGTGCACAAGTTTTGGCGATGGTTTACGAGCTAGCTCAAACGGATTACGATATAGAATAGCGACTGCATGCTGACACCAGTAATGGTTAACTAGCAAACATGAACGGAGTGTGTATGGGTCGTCTCTATGATATTTGAAAATCTCTTGAAGGCATTCCGCAGGCAGAACTAAACTTTTTGGATTTTCTGGTGGTGTTCGTGTTGGAACAGTGATGATGTTATCATGACTTCGAGTATTTCCAAAAAGCGAAAATATTCGAAACATTTTTTGTGATGTATTGAATGTGAGGCGTAAGTATATACGCTTGTGTTAATTATTTGTATTAAATTGTCAATAAAGTGCCGTCAAATCGGATAATTGTAATAATAAGAATATGAAGAATAAATTAAAGCAAATAAAGTAATAAAGGGATAAGACGACGACGACAATGAAAGAGGCAAAGAAACGAAAAACGCAGATAGAAAAAGAAGCAACATGAGATCAAGTAGTTAAAAGAGGTAGTTTTTTGTTTCGATCAAGATTTGAATGAAGCTGCAGTTTAAAAGGTCGAGGATCGATCGTGATAAAAGTCATGGTTTCTGATCCGCGAAAAATCACGAACACCACCATCGCTAAATAAAGTTTATTCTGTTGATCTTATTATATTATTACCCCTAGTGGTAAAATTTTCTTTCTACTAAATACAAAATAAGATCTACATGTTTTTAATTAGCGATTTTTAGATTAGAGCTTTGGTCGTCTTCTAAATTTTGATTCAAGTTTCCGCACTTATCTAGTTATTACCTTAACGTTAATTATTTCAAAAAAAATATTTACAGTTAAACTGAATCTCATGACTAATTAAAACCTCGGTAAACCGAAGTTGGGTCAAGGAACAAGATTCTCAATACAATATTGATGATTTAAAATATGGTACAAGAACTCTTAAATCGACAATATGTTTCATTCTAAAAATTCTATCAACTTCTTAACTAAGAAATAAATACAAAATTTAACCGGTAATATTATAGAAAAGGACTTGCTTGATAATATTAC